TGAACCCACTGAGCGGTCCTGGCATGAATCAAGTTGCTTCCTGGAAAGAAAAGCCTCGGTGTCACGACTCTGTGCAAGAATCCTGCAACAGTATCTCTTTCTCATTAAGCAAAAACATTCAGGAGGATTATAGAAGAACATTTTATGGCACAAAACTCTAATTAGATTTATGTTTATGTTTGTCAGTTTGACCTCTGTCTGTGGCTATTCAGTTTGGGTCTTTATTTAGCATTATATTATAGGAGGAATGAGTGTTGAAGGGATTAAGTAGCAGCAAATTGAAGATTTATTGGTTATGATTGGATCAGGTTCACTGTTCTGTAGAACTCTTAGACCCATACACATCAGAAAAGGACAGAATGTAAAAATAAAAATTGCTTCCATTTCAGGAATTACTTTCTTATAATAATGAGAGAGTATTTTATTTTTAAAATCTCATGTGAACATGAATATTGGAAGTATTATTTCCCAGAAATGGGTAACTAAATAATGAATACTTTTTACAACCTACTTCTGTCTTTATACTGAAATCAAGTTTAAATAAGAAACTTCCAATTTAAAGGTTTGCCTAAAATTCATTAGAACTGGAGGTGACCTGCCCCATGAATTTTTCCTATTAGCAATTATATCACTAGATTAACTTTCTGATATTTATTGGATTCTGATTTTAGCTACTGTGCAAACAATATTTTCTTCTAAATAAAAGAATGTCCAGATTAACAATCATCTAAGCTGAGCTCCCCAAATACGTTGCAAAAAATGGCAATGGGCTGATACCTGAGCAATGTTTTAAATGGAAGGCATATCACTTCAACTCACCTTCTTGACCAAAATTTTACTATGGTGTATACTGCACACCTATAGGGCAAGTAAGCATCTAATACCCAGGGAGGGTGACAGTAGTATCAGAGATAAGAAAACTTGAAGAGAATACAGAAACATTTACTGAGGAAAAAACCAATATTCTTCCTACTTCTTGCCACTGCAGGAAAACCTGGTGTGTTTTAGTATGAGAGCAGAAAAAGTATGGACTAGGGGTGCCTGGGTGGCTTAGTCGGTTAAGCGTCCGACTTTCGCTTAGGTCATGATCTCACCGTTCATGGGTTCGAGCCCCGCGTCGGACTCTGTGCTGACTGCCAGCTCAGAGCCTGGAGCCTGTTTCAGTCTGTGACTCCCTCTCTCTCTGACCCTCCCCTGCTCATGCTGTCTCTCTCTCTCTCTCCTAGAAATAAATAAAACATTAAAAAANTCTCTCTGACCCTCCCCTGCTCATGCTGTCTCTCTCTCTCTCTCCTAGAAATAAATAAAACATTAAAAAAAAAAATTAAAAAAAAAAAAGAAAAAGTATGGACTATTAACAATTAAAAGTAATGATTTGTGAAACGGAACATATATAATGCTAGTCTTTCCTTTCCTCTTTTATAAATGTAAAGATGGAATGTTTTATTATAAAATTATTTATAAATTTTTGCATCTGAATAGAATTAATCCTTACCAAATGGTTCAGATGTTTTTGAATAATAACTGAGAGTGGGACACAAAAGACCTTTTTAAGATACAGGAAGAATTACAGAGTCAGGCAACTATATCATCACATATATTCCTTATGTGATGATTTAAAATAAACACATGCTGGGGCACCTGGGTGGCTCAGTCAGTTAAGCGTCAGACTTCGGCTCATGTCATGATCTCACAGGTTCATGAGTCTGAGCCTCACGTCAGGCTCTGTGCTGACAGCTCAGAGCCTGGAGCCTCCTTCAGATTCGGTGTCTCCCTCTCTCTCTGGCCCTCCCCAGCTCGTGCTCTGTCTCTCTCTCTCTCTCAAAATTACATAAACATTGTAAAAAATTTAAAATAAACATATGCTGTCACTTACCTATCATGACTAATGCTGAAAGGGTGGTCTGTCCCATTTCTTTGTTAAACACCTTTGCTGAGGTATAACTGACATAGCATACAATCCACCCATTGTAAGGATACAATTCAGTGATTTTTAGTACATTTATAGTGTTCTACAACCATCACCATAATCCAGTTTTAGAACATTTCCATCATCTCCAAAAATTCCCTTGTGCTCATTTACAGTAAGTCTTGGATCCCAACATCAGATCCGGAAAATCACTCATCTACCTTCTGTCTCCAAAGATTTGCCTTTTCTAGGCATTTCACATAAATGGAATTATACAGTACATGTTTTGTGTCTGGCTTCTTTCACAAAGTATAATAATTCTGAGTTTCATTCATCTTGTACTATATTTCCTCCTCCAAGGGAATTTTAGAATCAGCTTGTCAAAAAAATGTTTTATTTATTTTTTAAGTTTATTTATTTATTTTCAGAGAGAGAGAAATGCAGAGAGAGAGAGACACAGACAAAAAGAATCCCAAGCTAGCTCCACGCTGTCAGTGCAGAGCCTGACATGGGGCTCAAACCCACAGTGAGATCATGACCTGAGCTAAACTGAGGAGTCAAACGCTTAACCAACTGAGCCACCCAGGCGCTTCTGTCAAAAAAATGTTTTAAAATTTCCTAACCAGGTGGGGAAGTCTTTGTTCAACACAGCCTTTAATGACTCTTATTTGTTTCTTGCTTTGGATTCCTCCATCTTCTGAAGCATTCTGGAAGAATTATTTTAGATTTAGAACATTTCTGAATGTAAGAAAACTACATGAAAGTACAAAAGTACTTTTTATTGGATAAAGACCTCAGTTTCAGGATTCCCTGAAGACATCAAAATGCAGGATTAGAAGCACTACCATTGAGAAGATAGAAAGGAGACAAAATAAAGATCACCTACATGGTTACAGTTGTATTCAACACGATTCGTTTTGTTTTTGTTTTTGTTTTTCCTTTGGCTCATATCCTGAAAACAAATACTTTGCAAATTTCCGGATATCATGATAAGAGATGTGAAACAATATTATTCTCCATTTTATTGTGACAATAATAGCATCTCATTAGACCAAAGTCATGTATCTAACAACTTCTTGTCTGGCACGTGATGAGGAAGCAAGAAGAAATCCTTAAAGACAAAAGAACCAAATAATTCTAACAAGGCCATGCTCTAAAATGCATGCAGCATACTCGTAGGAAGCCCCTGGCTCTCAGGTCCTCAGAAGTTTATGTACTTCTACTTTATACACAGCTCTAACAAGCCTTGCTCTCTTACTGCTCCTGCCCCTAAGACAATCAAAAGCAAAAGATCACTGAGAGGGAGAGAAAGAGAAGAAAGGGAACCAGGAGAGACTGGTGCTTAGGAGACCATTTACTACTAAGAGTGAGAAATAAGTACTTGATACAGGAGGAGACGGAGAATAGAGGCAGAAGCCTGGGACCACTCAGCAAACTGTGACAGTACCGCTGGATTACAGCCCAGGAGAGCTAATGATGACTTTGTCTTCACCAAAAGAAACTTCCTAATGTTCAAACCACCTTCTGATACACCTAGAAAAAGATGTGTAACTACTAACTAACTAAATTCATAAATAAGTAAACAATCAAACTGTTTTGGTTTGCTATATTCTTTTATGAAGGCAGCAGCATTTATACCATATCCCACAGCAAAAGCAGTATATAGCTTTTAGACAGATGTCTGTTAAAATGGCTCAAAATGGGGCGCCTGGGTGGCTTAGTCGGTTAAGCGTCCGACTTTCGCTTAGGTCATGATCTCACGATTCGTGGGTTCGAGCCCCGCGTCGGGCTCTGTGCTGACTGCCAGCTCAGAGCCTGGAGCCTGTTTCAGTCTGTGTCTCCCTTTCTCTCTGACCCTCCCCTGCTCATGCTGTCTCTCTCTCTCTCTCTCTCCTAGAAATAAATAAAAAATATTAAAAAAAAAAAAAGGCTCAAAATCTTTTGCAAATTTTCTTGTTTAGAGGAGTATATTTCAGTCCTCAGGATAATGCTTTTAAATATGAACAGGTGATTCCCAATATTGCTGAACACGTAGCATTTCTGCATTTCTTTTTATTTTTTGGCTGTCCTCATCAACTAACAAAATTAAGACGCTGGGCTAATCTCTGGGAGACTGCAACCCCATTCATAACCAGATATTACAGTATTTAAAGTTCATTCTATAAAGAAGTTATTGATTATTGTTGGGTAAGTTACATTTGCAATAAACTAAACACCTTATGAATTAGGTTGTATAAAACATTTTTCTACTACTAAATGAACAGCATTACTGAAAATAAATAGTAGGGAAGATGGATTTCACTGAGAACACTGGATTAACAGTCCAGAGAAGGAGCTCCCGCCCTGCTGACTACTCATTCTGCAAATCTGCATGTGCCTTTTTTTTTTTTTAATGTTTTATTTATTTCTAGGAGAGAGAGAGAGAGACAGCATGAGCAGGGGAGGGTCAGAGAGAGAGGGAGTCACAGACTCTGAAACAGGCTCCAGGCTCTGAGCTGGCAGTCAGCACAGAGCCCGATGTGGGGCTCGAACCCATGAATCGCGAGATCATGACCTAAGCGAAAGTCGGACGCTTAACCGACTAAGCCACCCAGGCGCCCCTGCATGTGCCTTTTAACCTTGTTGAGCTACAGTTTCTTTATCTAAGAAGTGAAAGAAACCCCAGTACAAACAGAACTAGAGATATTGGTGAGTTACCTAGTTGTCTTTCTCTTCTGGAAGAATGGGGATATATTAGTCACATTTGCCAAACAGACTCTTACAGGAGTAAATCACTCAATAACCATTAGCTTTTAGAAACTGTATATTCATTTGTGTGAAAATTTTGTCTTTTTCTCCTGAAACATATTTTTACTTCCTTAGGCTTTAAGGTTTACAGACATGTATTTCTGACTGGCACTGTGTAAAGCTCCCTCTGCTCTTCCCATACAAACTTCCTTTACTCCACCAAATACAGTCATGTTAAAAAAAAAATGTTCTGTATACATAATTTCTTTTTAGTCTCATAAAAAAGTAAACCTATGAGGCAGGTACTGTTATTATCCCCATTTTACAGATGAGAAAACTAGAACATACATATGTCGTGACTCACCTGAGGTCACAGGGCTGGGAAGAGATAAATGGAGTCCCATCTAGAAAACTGCAGAGGCCAGGCTGACCAAAGGTGGGAGGGGCTGCAGCAGAAAACGATGTTGTCCAGGAGCACAGATCTGGTCTGAAGGACCTGGAAAACTGAGCAGAAAGGCAAAAATAGAAGCATTAGAACTTTTCGATCAGGGGAGAACCATGGGCAGAATTAATATTTTTAAATAATCAATCTCACAATTTTGTATCTATTTTCTAGGCAAATAATAACTAACAACTTTTACTCTGCATGTATTTGCTCATTTAATCCTTATAACAATTCTTTAAAAGGAAGGCACTGTCATTTGCTCCATTTTACAGATGAGAAAACTGAGGCACAGAAAGATACAAGAACTTACCAAAATCCAGACAGCTTGCAAGTGATGGAACTAGGCTTCCCTGGTAGGCAGTCTGGCCTCTGGGCCACAGTGCTTTTGTTAATAGACACAGACCACAGGCTAGACATATAAGGCTAGCAGGGGTGACAGCAAGAATGGAGAAAAGGGGGGATTTCAGAAGAAAAGGGGTGGAATTTCTGGACTAAAGAACTTGATGAGGATTAAGAAGGGGAGTAAGTTGAAAATAAAGCCAAAGTTTTCGTTCCCCTGGGAAAATACCAGGGTCTCTGAGGAAGACAAGGAGCCGGTCTGGAGGAAACCACGATGGAAATGCAGGCAGTGCTGATTCAGGGCAGTGCCAGGAATGCTAGACAGATGGCTGCAGCTGGCAGCACTGCTCAGGGAGTAGATGGCGCTCCAGAAAGAGATGTGAGGGCTTCTCGCAAAGAGAAACTCTCAAGTCAGGAAAACAGGTACACTCTCCAGGAAAGAGAGAGCGAAGAAAGCGAAAGAAAAAGGATCTAAGTCCAGGTAACCACCAGGGACAGAAGATGAGAGGAAAAAGCAAGACAAAGAGACTAACACATAGCACTGTGCACCAGTCCCTTGCAAATATGCCATATGACTTAGGAGAGCAGCCCTGTACGGCAGCTAATGTTGCCCCTGGAGATAGAGGAACTGGAGTTAAGACATTCAGAGGTCTTGCCCACAATCACACAGCAAGTAAGTGACATAACTAGAATGTGAACCTAGTCCATGTGACCCCAAAGTCTGTCTCTATCCATAAACAAAAGTGTGTGAAAAAGGGAAAATGCCTGACACAGGTGAGGGCTCGTGGCTGGTGTCTAGGACAAGACTGAATGGATACGAAGCCCTAGAGGTGAACCACAATAAAATCTTAAAAGGCTACATAATGCCTAAGAACTAAAGAGCCAGTGGAAGTTTTTTCAGCAGGAAAGTAATATAAGAATCACTTTAAGACAGGAATATAAACAAATATAAAAAGAGAAGTGTTAAAAAATGGATCAGAGCAGGAAGAAACTAGGAGCAGAGAACACAGACGTTAATAATGTTACTTCTTTTGATGGGTAATGTTGGAACAAAGGCAGCATGGAAGACAGAGACTGGATTCAGGAGGTATGCAGAGATATTTTGGTAAGACCTGCCTGTCCATCTCCCTGGGGAGGTCCCCAGAAGGCAGCTGAAAATAGGATCTACCACTGAAAAGAGTTCTAGGATGGAGAGTTAGACTTCAGAAGTCATCAGGAAGTAGCGGTAGTTGGAGATTACAAAGTGATGATATCACCAGGAATTGGAAGACCAAGAGAAGATGGCTAAGCAGGAAATTCCGGGGGGAAAGTAAACAAACAGAGGATTTGAAGGACCTTTTCTGGAAAAGACTCCAGTGCTCATCTGTTCTTATGAGTTTCCTTTTCCTTTTGTGTATCCCATCTACAGAAGGGGAACAAGTCTTGACCTTTCAGAACTTCCGCTGCTCCCTGTTCTGCCCTCATCTTGAGCACAGACACTATTTTCCTTACAAAGCCACAGGCTGGCCTCGGTCTCTCTCAGGGAGAGATCCTGGAGCCCCAAATCCAAGCCAGTGCAACAGATAGGGGAGGCCACATCTCAGAGAAATGGTTAGATGACAGTCAAGTCTGCAGACCCTGGCCATTATTCCGAAGTGGTGGTGGCTACCAGTTCTCTGAGGAATATGCTGTGGCACTGAAAAGGAGGTCTTATCAGGACCACGGGAGGCTCATATTCAGAAAGTGGTGGTTACTGAAATCACTTAGGGGAGGGAGGGCATGAAATGCTCGTGAGAAACTGGAGGCAGTGAGTTGCTGAGGTTCTTCCAAAGAGATTTAAATAGAATATTCAGGTCAGTCTGTATCCCAGGTCAATTTAGAGCTCTTGATGCAATCTTCCTAAAATTCTGGCATCAAATATATGGAAAGCTAAAAGTCTTTTAGATGATAATCACATACCCTGTCCATTTACCCCTATTTTCTATACTGACTTGATTACTGCAAGTATACTTAACAGCAGACTGCAAATTAGGACTTTGGGACAGGCAGGTCTGGGTTAGAATCCCAGATCTGCTATTTAATAACTACAGCCACAGGGAAAATCACTCAAACTTTGATCCTCAGTTTCCTCAACTGTAAACTGAGATAATGCCTCCTGTGGCAGTTAATATTGATTGGATTGTTTCACTTCTGTTCCATTCCAACTCCCTTACAGAGTGCCTGTGGATACAACAGAGGTTGGAAAGTGAAAGGCAAATTTCCCAGACTCCCTTGCAGCTGGGTTTCACATCTAACCTGGTTCTGCTAAGTAGGCATCCCCGGAGGAGACTTCGGAGGTGGACGTGGGCACTGTAAAGCTCCGAAAAGATAATGGATCTTCTAGTAACCACTGTAGTAGAAATGACTGGTATTTTGGGAATGTGGAGGTGGAGTCTCAGCATTTGGTGCTAAGTATCTGTGACAGGAGACAGGAGCTGTGGGGTTCCCCCAGGAAAGTCCCATGTTCTAGCAAAGCCTTTCTCCTGGCTGTGTTGCTCCTGACAGTATAGGATGCAAACTGATTTTCATGGCTCCCCAGAAATTCTTAAGCTGCTAAATATCCTGCAGGAATTGTCATTTTGTTTAAACTACTAGTTGGAATGGATTCCGTTTTTTTCAGCTCAAGGACCAACGTCATAGGGTTTTTGTGGGAAAGTCAATGTATGTATACTAGTACAGTACTTAACACCTCAAGAGCCACATTACTATTTTTAGTGTATCACCTTCTACAATGAAGTAGAAATAAGCAATCTGCAATTTCTTAAGGATTTTCTGATTTTATTTTTTGAAACATATTTTTGTTCTAAGATTCTTAGTTCTAAGTATTACAGAGGTTTTAGTTTTGTGCAGTTAGGATTGACAAAGTAGAACATTAATTATTAAACTAAGAAATATGTACTCTTTAAAATGAAGAAAACCACTTTATTGTTGTTTTTTACTTAAGTTGGGGAATTGTCTTCAATTTCAGTACCAGACACAGTTAGGGGTGATCTTTAAAGAACCTTGGAAAATGGCTGAGAAGGTCAATAGTCTTTTGTTCTTTCCTAGGCTCTGCCGATCTTGTTAGCATCTTCCGATCTCCTTTGGGAAAGTCAATATATTTTGGAATCCATAATTTAACATAAAAGGTTTTTGTCAAACTAGCATTCTTATCTTTTACTTAGGGAGACCCTACAGTTTTCAAACATCTGAGAGTAAGAATGGATTTAATTGTGTTTAATCTTTATTGGAAGATATGTAACAAGATGCTATATGCAAAACTTTTAAGCTTCTAAATACTACTGTGATTTTGTGTATGTTCAATTATCTTCATAAGTCATTGATTAAATAAATCATTTTTTTAATTGAATTTATTACTCATTTCCCTTTCTGGAGTCTCCCCAAACTACTTACTGGATGTTGAGCATTTAAAATATCTGTAGAGGGGCGCCTGGGTGGCTTAGTTGGTTAAGCGTCCGACTTTCGCTTAGGTCATGATCTTGCAGTTCCTGGGTTAGAGCCCCGCGTCGGGCTCTGTGCTGATTGCCAGCTAAGAGCCTGGAGCCTGTTTCAGAGTCTGTGACTCCCTCTCTCTCTGACCCTCCCCTGCTCACGCTGTCTCTCTCTCTCTCTCTCCTAGAAATAAATTTTTTAAAAAAACATTAAAAAAATTTAAAAAAATAGAAAATGCTCCAATGGGAAAAAAATGTAATGAAGATAATTTATAGGACAATGTCACTGCCTTCTTTGAACTATGAAAATGTTCTCTGTGTCCAAGTGAAATTTAATCATTTTATTATATTAAAGGGGAAACTTGCAGTAAGTGGTCTGTGGAAGTTAATGTAATTGTCCCTTTTGGAACTCAAGAGATCGACAAATTACTGAGATAAGTAATTTTGTAGCTGTTCTTAATATTTTTTAAACAGAGGGGTGCCTGGGTAGCTCAGTTGGTTAAATGTCTGACTCTTGATTTCGGCTCAGGTCATGACCTCATGGCTCGTGGGACTGAGCCACTGCAGCCAGCTCCTCTCTGGCAGTGCAGAGCCTGCTTGGAATTCTCTCTCTCCTGCCCTGCTCACACAATCAATCAATCAATCAACCAACCAATCATTCAATCAATAAATAAACAAACTTTAAAAATACACATTTTAAACAAAGAAACTGAGGAATTAAAATACACAAGAGGAGGTGCCTGGGGTGGCTCAGTCAGTTGAGCGACCAACTTGATTTCAACTCAGGTCATGACCTCACTCTTGTGAGGTTAAGCCCTGTGTCTAGCTCTGTGCTGGGCATGGGGCCTGCTTGAGAGTCTCTCTTTCTCTGTCCCTCCCACACTTACCTGTGCAATCTCTCTCTAAAATAAATTAATTAGGATATCTCTAAAATAAATTAATTAGGATATCTCTAAAATAAATTAATTAATAAAAATAAAATAAAATACACCATAAAACAGTTTTATGAAGGTAGTTAGGATATGGTTTCTACTATTATCTACAATTTTTATTTTTTTTATGTTTATTTTTGAGAGAAACAGAGATAGAGCATGAGTGGGAGAGGGGCCGAGAGAGAGGGAGACACAGAATCCAAAGCAGGTTCCAGGCTCTGATCTGTCAGCACAGAGCCTGGCATGGGGCTCAAACCCACAAACAGTGAGATCATGACCTAAAGTCAGACACTGAGCCAAATGAGGCACCCAGGTGCCCTGTGTACAATTATTTTTTTTTTTTTTTTACAAATAGTTTATTGTCAAATTAGTTTCTACATAACACTCAGTGCTCATCCCCAAAGTGCCCTCCTCCATGCCCATCCCCCCCTCCCCCCCACATCCATCAGTCCTCAGTTTTTGTCAGCATTCAAGAGTCTCTCATGGTTTGCCTCTCTCCCTTTCCCCCACCATTTCCGCCCTTCTTCTCCCCCTTGTTCCTCCGTCAAGTTCCTCCTAATCCTCCTATACGTGCAAACATATGATATTTGTCCTTCTCTGCCTGACTTATTTCGCTCAGCATAACACCCTCAAGGTCCATCCATGTTGCTACACATGGCCAGATTTCATTGTTTCTCATTGCCATGTAGTATTCCATGGTATAGATAAACCACATCTTCTTGATCCAATCATCTGTTGATGGACACTTAGGCTCTTTCCATGTTTTAGCTATGTGTACAATTATTTTTAATAAGCTAGTTCCTCTTTATTATGTTCTGTTTAAAATGAATTGTGGTTCTATAACTGTTAAACTAGTATTCAATAAACCTATAAGAACATTAGAGTCTGAAGTCATAATCAGGAACATTCTAATTTCAAATTGTTCTGTAAAGCAATACCAAAAATAAGAGACAAAAAAAAAAAACAAACACCTAGTATTATAAAAAGATCTAAAATTCTTTTATTTATTTTTTTAATTTTTCTCTTTTTTTTTAATGTTTTATTTATTTCTACGAGAGAGAGAGCGAGCGTGAGCAGGGGAGGGTCAGAGAGAGAGGGAGTCACAGACTGAAACAGGCGCCAGGCTCTGAGCTGGCGGTCAGCACAGAGCCCGATGCGGGGCTCGAACCCTTGAACCGCGAGATCATGACCTAAGCGAAAGTCGGACGCTTAACCGACTAAGCCACCCAGGCGCCCCCTAAAATTCTTTTAAAATAGGATGAAGAATTTTACATTTATGATTTAGATTACAAAATGCTAAGGAGGGGCACCTGAGTGGCTCAAGTTAAGCATCCAACTTCGGCTTAGGTCATGATCTCATGGTTTTTGAGTTCGAGCCCCATGTCAAGCTCTGTGCCAACAGCTCAGAGCCTGGGGCCTGCTTGGATTCTGTGTCTCCCTCTCTCTCTCTGTCCCTTCCCTACTCATGCTCTCTCAAAAATATATAAACATTGAAAAAAAAATTTTAATTAAAAAAATTGCTAAGGAAATTTATTATACATGTTCTCTTTTGCTATTCTTATGTGTCAATATTTGGGGAAGAAGGGTGAAAATGAATGTACATTTATTTACATGATGCCTATTATTGGTAAATTAATATAATTATCCCTTTATGGCTACTGAAAAAATCTGATAATACAATTTATTAATTAAATTGAAATTTTAAATGTATTTAGATCTGGGCCTATGATTTTAAGCATAATTTATGAAGTATGAGATAATAAAGTTTTAACTAATAATTAAAATTATAGCTCAGTGGTATCTTTCATCAAGAATTTTTTGCCCATGGAGAGGTATGCATAGATTTTTTTTTTTTATGCTAGGCTCAGAGTTTATTGCAGATATACAATCTTGCTGATTTTCACAATTTATGGTATACAGAGATGAATGCTTCTATTATTAGTAGTAGAAGAGACAGAGAAAATAAGATTTGTTCATAATGATTTTTAAAAATAAACTTAAATTTTAGAACAGTTTTATTTTACAGAAAAAGAGGACAGGGACACCTGGATAGCTCAGTCAGTTAAGCAATGGTTTCTGCTCAGGTCATGGTCTCATGGTTTTGTGAGTTTGAACCCTGCATCCAGCTCTGCTCTGACAGTGAAGAGCCTTCTTGGGATGTGCTCGCTCGCTCTCTCTCTCTCTCTCCGCCCCTCTCCTGCTCATACCATCTGTCTCTCTCAAAATAACTAAACTTGAAAATATATATAAAAAGAGAGGACAGTGTTCTTGAATACCCTACACTTAGTATACTCTACAGTTAATATCTAACATTATTATGTTATGATTGTCACAGCTAAGAAATTAACATTAGTATATCACTATTAAATAAATTCCTTATTCAAATTTCATTAGTTTTTCCCTAATTTCCTCTTCTGTCCCAGAATTCCATCCAGGATGTTCTTCCATTACTGTATACAATGAGGTTCACTCTTTGTGTCGTGAAGTTTAAAGGGCTTTGGCAAATGCAGTGTCACATTTCCACCACAACAGTACCATACAGTTCTACCACCCTTATAAAGCCCTCTGTTCTCAATCTTTTGAGAATTCCCAGAGAATCAGTTTTCAGATTGATATTTCAGCTTGATCTTCCACTGGAAAAACCTAAGCTGTGAATTTTTTCAGGCAGTGGTTCTCAACCCTAGCTGCCCACTGGAATTACCTGCAAACTTTAGAAAAGGTTAATGACTGGTCCTAACTCCAGATCCTAGTTTCACAGTGTGAGGTGTGAGCCTAGGTGTTGGGATTTTGAAAAGCCCCCTAGGGGCTCACAATATGCAGGTAAGATTCAGAACCACTGATCCTGCCTTCATCTGTTTCATGATTGGATTCAGCTGCATTTTGGTAACAACACAAATGATTAATTGATGCATCTAACATCACTTTTGGGGGCATACTATGAACCATCATGAGTTTTTAAATAATATAGCAGGGATGCATTTCACATGCTTAATGATCATGTTTGCAAAAACACTCTGGCTGGAGGAGGCTTCTCTGCTGTTATTTTCTGTTTGATCAACCTGGGCAGTGCCAGGTTATTTCCTCAAAGGGTATTCAGCCATGTTTCAGGTTGGCTTGGCCATCGTCTCTGGACTCTAGTGTGCTGCTAATCCTCTGATATCCAACCACTTTCCCTACCCAGCATGTGGTTTATGGCCCCTACCTAGGTGTATGTTAAGGAGTTCCTAAGCTCTAGGTTTTGTGGATTATCTGGCAAGCCCAGACGTGCTTTCAATTCTCAGCTATCTTCTATGCCCCTCTTCATGTTGACATAGGAACCTTGCAAACATTCTCTATAACCCCTGGCAGCTGAGGGAGACTGGGTGGCCTCTCTCAGGTCTGCTCTAAGCCTAGATCTACCTTGCAATCATTTCTGCTCCACTTCAGTTGTCCCTTTCCAGAATTCGCAACAGAAGATAGGCCAACAGGCGCTCTCTCTCTGTCCAGAGATCCCCAAACCCATCACAACCTTCCAGAGTTTCAACTCCTAAAAGGGACCAAGGAGCCAAGCCCATCTTTAAAGCTAAAATCTCCTCTTCTAGTTCCTTTTCACAGTAGAAAAAGGCAAGAAGGGAAAACTGATTCACGTTATTTCTCATTTCTTCCCACCCTATGGTTTATATCATGAATTCTATGCTTGCTATCCTCAATGTTCTGCTAATGATACACAGTGCCAAGATCTTAGAATTTAAAAAACAACTTTTGGGGCACCTGGGTGGCTCACTCAGTTAAGCGTCTGACTTTAGCTCAGGTCATGATCTCACAGTTCGTGGGTTTGAGCCCCGCATCAAGCTCTGTGCTGACAGCTAGTTCAGAGCCTGGAGCCTGCTTCAGATTCTGTCTCCCTCTCTCTCTGACCCTCCCCTGTTCATGCTGTCTTTCTCTCAGAAATAAATAAAAAACATAAAAAATTAAAAAAAAATAAAAACAACTTTTCTCTCTCAAGAATCTGACTTTCTTGGGGTGCCTGGGTGGCTCAGTTGGTTAAGCATCTGACTTCGACTCCGGTCATCATCTCACGGTTCATGGGTTTGAGCCCCATGTCATGCTCTGTGCTGACAGCTCAGAGCCTGGAGCTGCTGCGGATACTGGGTCTCCCTCTCTCTCTCTGCCTCTTTCCCATTCGCACTCTGTCTCTTGCTCTCAAAAATAAATAATTAAAACATTAAAACAAAAAAAGAATCTGAATTTCTCAAAATAATGGGCTGTCAGACAGTTGTGTCTCTTCTGTTTTCTAAATATCCCCTCAGAAATCCAGTCTCCGTCTGTGCTCTGGGCTGTTATCTGCTTTCTGCTCCAATGCAGTGAAAGACACTGACTAAAGTGACAAAGCACTTGAGGCAAAAAAAAATTGTGGCAAAGAAAAATCTCTATTGATGTCTCAGAATAATACCCCTCTACCATCATATCATAAAGTGATATGGACCTGCTACGTCAAGTGAATGTCAAATTGCAGCTGGATAAATTTGGAAAGCACAACGATTTCAGTGCAATTTTTTTTTTTTTTAAAAAAAGACACATTTATTCAGCGTCATGATCATACTATTACATTTAGCAACCAACAGCATGGGTGCAAAAAAAAAAATCTACATTAAACCCCTTTGTTGGAATGCTTTACACTTTCCACAGAACAGAAACTAAAATAACCTGTTATACAATTAGTCACAAATACAGTCCTCGAGTTTTTTGCCCATACACATGAGTATTGTCTAAAACATGTCTTCTTTGTAGCAGCTAGGCCCTGCCACCACTGTGCTTGGCTGAGTTCACAAATCTGTTGTAACCTGTAGCTTCCCTGTCACTTCTCTGGCTCTCCTCTCCTGCTAAGCTTTGTTTCCTGGCAGTAATTAAAACCTTCTGCCACTGCCATAGCTACTGCTGCTGCTGGAACCGCCATAGCCACCTTGGTTTCGTGGTTTGGCAAAGTATTGGCCTCCACCACCATAGGGGCCAGAGCTTCTGCCTCCAAAATTTCCTCCTTTCATGGGTCCAAAATTTGAAGACTGATTGTTGTAATTGCCAAAATCATTATAGCTTCCACCACCTCCAAAGTTGCTTCCATCATTACCAAATCCGTTATAGCCATCCCCACTGCCACCATATCCACCACCACCTCGACTGCCACCAAAGCCACCACGCCCACTGAAGTTTCCTCCACGACCAAAGTTGTCATTCCCACCAAAACCACCTCCACGACCACCACCGAAGTTTCCAGAACCACTTCGACCTCTTTGGCTGGAGGAAGCACTAGCCATCTCTTGTTTAGACAGAGCCTTCCTTACTTCACAGTTGTGGCCGTTCACAGTATGGTATTTTTGAATAACAATCTTGTCTACAGAGTCATGGTCATCAAATGTTACAAAAGCAAAGCCTCTCTTTTTGCCACTGCCTCGGTCAGTCATGATTTCGATCACTTCAATTTTCCCATACTGTTCAAAATAATCTCTTAGATGATGTTCTTCAGTGTCTTCTTTAATGCCACCAACAAAAATCTTTTTCACAGTTAGGTGGGCACCAGGTCTTTGAGAATCTTCTCTCGAGACAGCCCTCTTTGGTTCTACAACTCTTCCATCCACCTTGTGTGGCCTTGCATTCATGGCCGCATCCACCTCCTCCACAGTGGCATAGGTGACAAACCCAAAGCATCTGGAGCGCTTGGTGTTTGGATCTCTCATTACCACACAGTCCGTAAGCGTTCCCCATTGCTCAAAATGGCTCCTCAGACTCTCATCGGTTGTTTCAAAGCTCAAACCTCCGATGAAAAGCTTCCGCAGCTGTTCAGGCTCTTTGGGAGACTCTGACTTAGACATGACGGCAGTGGGAGGGGAGACTTTATCGATGCTTACTCGGCGGCGTCCACAGGCAGAAAGGAGTAATCTAACGAACGTATCTCTATTTCAGTGCAATTTTTAATAATGGTCAATAAGATGTACTTGTTTTTAAAGGCACATAGATCTTTCCTCACAAATGACAGAAAAGGCTGAGCATATATTTTAGGGTTGAATAAAAGTTTCAGATCACATGCATTCAAGACTTGAGGACACAGAAGAAGAATATCATATCCATTCTGTATTCCAGGGAGATTTCACTACCAAGGTGACAGCTGGGAATAGCTGTCCAGAGGAACATTAGTCAAAAGTCTACTGAGATTAAACAAACAAACAAACAAACAAAAGCAAATGAAGAATGAAAATCTCCTGGAAGAAGAGATTATTAACTCAGTGCTCCAAATCAAAATATGAGTAACCAGACTTTGTTCTCTGTTTCATCCTCAGCTGGAAAGACAGCTAATAATGCAGAATGAAATGAGAGAAAGGCAAATGGCTTTGCAGATTGCTTGGTCTCGAGAATTCCTCAAGTATTTTGGAACTTTTTTTGGCATTGCAGCCATCTCTTTAACAGCTGGGTATGTTTGCTATTTACATTTGTCTTAAATAATTTACTTTTTTTTGCTTCTGACAGTACACATTACCCAGTTGGCCCAGATAGGACTTTGGTACAAATAATGACTATGCAAACACAAGAATCCCTTAGAGCTTGGTCCTTGGAGATACCTATAGAACCAGAGTAGAAATAGTTCATTCTACCTCTAGTATCTCCGATTTCTTCTATCCTTTTCTGCATTTAATAAGTTACAGGAGTGACTTGACACCAAGATCGAAGTCCTCTGCAAATTTATCTCCACAATCCCTAAGGGGCACATAGCAATACTAAACCATTTTTTTAAATGAGTAATCTAAGCCTCAACATCAAATAAAGATGAGCAAGTCAGAGATTCTGCTCTTGTGAGCTGCAGACTCTGGGGAGGGGTTGTGGGTAAGAAAAACTTATTTCTGTAAAAGACTTAAATGAGTACCTTCTAAAATGGAGGACAATTCTTCCAAAGAGCAGGTAATTTTTTTTTTCATTAAGTAGAGAGATAAGTATTTGTAGGCCATTCTTGATATTTATTCTTTTTTTTTTTTGTTCTTGAACCAGGGCAATAAGAAGGAAAAAGCCAGCCTTCCTCTTCCCTATCATTCCGTTAGGCTTTGTCTTCACCTACCAGTATGACTTAGGATATGGAACCCTTCTCCAAAGAATGAAAGGTAAGTTTTTGATAAAGTGGAGTCGATTTCTGATTCGTCTTCTAGTTCAAGGATCCTCTCCTTATGACCCCTTCATTTATGAACATTCTGACAAGACACCTCTCTCTCTGAGCCTCTAGTGACCAATGTTTCTGCTCCCTCTCACAGCAGTGTGCTAGTCAGCTCATACCAGGGGAGGGGCATCTGGGTGGCTCAGTTGGTTAGGCGTCTGACTTCGGCTCGGGTCATGATCTCACGGTTCATGGGTTCGAGCCCTGCATCGGGCTCTGTGCTGACAGCCAGCTCAGAACCTGGAGCCTGTTTCAGATTCTGTGTCTCCCTCTCTCTCTGCCCCTACCCAGCTTGTGCTCTGTCTCTCTCTGTCTCAAAAATAAATAAATGTTAAAAAAAAAAAAAATTAGAGTCAGCTCATACCAGCTCACGAGAACTATCAAATTTTCAGGAATCTGTTAAATTCCTGGTTGTTAAATATAGTCATTATTAAAAATTAAATTATATAAACTTATAATGAAATTAAAGAAATAATATTAAATTATATTAAAAGCAATGGTAATATATACTTATCAGTTTTTCATTATTTTACTGTTATGTGTGCTCTTAAGTTATGTGTATCTATTTTATGTATATCTACTGTACCTCTATGGCAGAAATGCACATGCAATATATAGACACAATAAGACACAGATACAACTCCAACTTCAGTGGCATCCCATTGGTAACCTGAAGTTGGTCCTGGTGGGATATTTACACAGGGAAATCTGCAAACACCAAGTAAGGCTTGACCTACTATTTTGTTGATTGTCTAAGCCAGAGGTTGGCAAACGACTGCCTGCAGGCTGGCCACATGTTTTTGAAAATAAAGTTTTTTGAAAACACAGAAATGCCCATTGATTCTGACCTGTCTATGGATATGTTCCCATTACCATGACAGTGCTGAGTGACTGCAATAGAGACAGAAGGCCCCACAAGCCTGAAATCCTTACTGTCTGGCCCTTTTAAGAAGGCTTGCCAATACAGTCTAGGCTTAAGGAAGTGATGAAGAAAATGTTAATACTGTAGATAATGCTTAAATGTTTGTTGTGTCAGTAGCCATTACACTGTGAATAGCACAAACAATTTAGGAAATAGCCTCCCAACATTTAAAAACTGTTACCTGAAAAATAAAGTAAAATAAAATAAAAATTGTTATCCGATTCAGCCAAGTTGTTTACATCATTCTTAAACAAATGAAGTTCCAACATATGTCACTGTTTCTACTTTTGTCCTACTCATTAGTATAAATGAAAATACCAACTATCATTCACGTTGGAATTATACTCTCATCAACTGCAACTATAGGTCAGCTATAAATGTAACATTTTAGTAAAAAAAAAATAAATAAAAACATTCTGAAAATTAATTTGCTACAGGAAATTTATGATAAAGTATACTGAACATTTTATTATTTTTATAAATTGTGTGCAGCATATATTTTATATAAGTAAAAATTATAATAGACTTATGTTGATAATAAACTTATATACTTTTTCTTTTCTGGAGAGCTGGTTGTTAAATAATTACCAGCACCACGCTGCTCTCACAGAACTCTGGCTTTTCTTTTCCTAGAAAATAGCACTGCCACTGTCCCTTCTTCTTGAGCCTTTAACCCAGAGCACGTTGGAAACAGTGCTTTCACTAGCCTTTCCTCTCATGGACTCTCTGTGGGCACATCACTGTCTCTTAAGCTCTGTGAGGACTCATTTGTTACAGAAAAGGAGGAAGTACAGACTCCTTTGCAAGTATTAGAAGTAGGGAGTAGAACTTCTCTTTCCCGGGCCTAGGGGGAAACAAGGGTTATATGTTCTTAAAAATTCCCATTTGAAGATGGAAATACATTTTCCACACAGAAACTCTGCAAAGGTGTCCCATTTGGGTCAAGCATTATTGGTATCATAGTTTAGCTGTATTGTGGGCTAAATAGCTTTTGTTGATGGCCTAGAAATTTATTTACTGCATTATTAGTAGGGGAAAATGCATTAAACACTGACCTACAAATTAAATTTTGAAGTGCAATCTCATTTTATGCAGGAGACTGACTACACAACTGATTTACCAATGTTAAAGCTCATTTCAATAACCTGCTCTGTTTCATGTTACTCATCTGCTTAAGAATACATTAGTCTGATTTTTCAAGATGAAGAGCTCTGGAGATAGATGGTAGGGATGCCTGCACAGAATTATGAATGTTTTTAACACCACTGAACTGTCCAACTTGAGATGGTTGAGATAGTATATTTTATACGTATTTTACTACAATAAAAAATGGGGGAAGAAAAGAACTCACTAGTCTGAGTTCAACTATGTTTCATTGTTTATATGGACATTAGAATTCTCAGTGCCTCATAAAAATTAATATGTACTATTAAATGTCAAGTCTGTTACACAGCATTCACTTGAACCTATTACTAATAGAGAACAAGGTTATTTTCTGTGAACATTGTGATTGTGTATTTAGGAAGTAATTTTATTACAGGTCCATCAGAGTCTACAGAACATACCATCTAAGGGGCGCCTGGGTGGCTTAGTCGGTTAAGCGTCCGACTTTCGCTTAGGTCATGATCTCACGGTTCGTGGGTTCGAGCCCCGCGTCGGGCTCTGTGCTGACTGCCAGCTCAGAGCCTGGAGCCTATTTCAGAGTCTGTATCTCCCTCTCTCTCTGACCCTCCCCTGCTCACTCTGTCTCTCTCTCTCCTAGAAA